TGTCTCTAGAAGTCAACCTCCCTCTGAGTTTTCAATGGTGGTAAATAATATGTTAGCTTCAAGTTGTGACTGATGATCAGCCTGAATCCCTGAGCAGGGTTAAGATGGATGTAGGTTACTTTGATCATGGAACACACACACATGCACACACATGCATATGTATTATATATGTATTATCCCATACTCCATGCTTTTTGAATTTTCCTGTTAAAGATATTTAAAATGATGGTTATTTATTATTTCACAGTGTTTTTATTTGTTGCAAAAAATGACATTTTTTCTTTTGAAATTTCCAGCATACTACAATACTAAGGAAAACCTTTGATGACACACAATTTAAGAGAAATCTACATTGCTTGGGACTCTAAATGCAATTACAGTGCAAATGTGGCAGCCTGATACTACTACTTAAGTCAATAACGCTAGCAGTAAAAGTAATAAAACAATTAAGATTTAGATAGATACTTAGTCCATGTGTATTAGTTACTTTGATCTTCATAACCTTTGAAGTATCTATTATTAACTCTCCCAACTTTGCTGATGAGAAAATTGAAGTTAATAACTTGAAATACATGCCTGAGTTCTCAAAGCCAGTGAGAAATTTTATGTAAAGAACTGTGTACTTTCAGATAATTGGGTAATAATCACAGCTTTGAGGTCATAGCCCCTGTATTAGCTTGTCTTTGCCTCGTGTTAAGCACCTAGAATTAACTGCTGAAAGGTTACAACTGTCATTTGTGCTATTAAAAAACATTCTTGACTCACTGCCTACTGAACACACAGTGAGACTGTACTTCATAGTCCTCTTTCTATTCAATAATACCATGTGATCTGTCCTGGCCAATGACTTGTGACCAAGCCAATACTAATAATAGCACAATAGTAAAGATGATGGGTTGCTTCTGAGCCAGAAAGTATAGATGGAACCTGAAGCACATGTTAGTGTGTTATAAGGAATACAGTGACTACATCACTCGTACTTTCATTGGTCTATCATGGTCCCATGTGCTCCATCCACATGAAGTCATGCATCCACACGATTTAATGTATCATTAATGCTTGGTGCATATCGTGCCTTCTTAGAACCCTGCGAGGAATGGGAACACAGTTCACTGTGTCAGACCATATTTTGTTCTTTGTAATGTCTAGACTGTGGAATGTGTGATGAGCTGATTTCTTGCCCGTGAGCCCATGGTGACTCCCTATGCTTCTTCATCAGATGTAAATGAATTATATGAAATGCTTATACTGACCATGATCAAGACGCCATAGGTATGTATCCATTCATGATTGTGTCAGCAGAAATATTAATGACAGGGAAAGCACATTCATATCTGGAATGTATGCATTTTGAGTGAGCATGAATCTCTACCCAATTCTCAAGATCAGAAGTCCAGTGTAATCAGTCTGCTGCCAGATGGCAGTGCTGGCTTATGTCCCATATACCAGGCATGATGCTCTAGGGACCGTGTCATTATTGGTCTGTGTTGTAGGCAGATGAGACATGCATCAGTAGAACCTGGCAGATCAGCATTGGTGAAGAAATTCCTATCTTACTGACCTGCACATGAGCTCTGTATTGGGAGGGTTATCCCAGAGTGTGTGACTTTGTCTACCTTATCTTTGAGTCACCTTTACAAGATACACTCCTGTGGGATGTTTCACATGCCAAAAAATAGCTTAGGTCATGAGCCTTCTGAAAAGCCCATTCATAGGCTTCCTTTGGTTCTCTTCAGCAATGTGGCTTTCCATTCCTTGACAACTGACCCCAGTCATTTGCAAGTGAATTGATATAGATTCAATTTTCTAGGCTTTTCTCTCTCAAGGCAGAATATACAATCAAATGGCATAATAGAAGAGTAGTTCTCAACCCCTTTGGGGGCCAAATGACCATTTCACAGAGTCTGCCTTAGACTATCAGACATATCAGATATTTACAACACAGCTCATAACAGTAGCAAAATTATAGTTATGAAATAGCAACACAAGTAAATTTATGGTTCAGGATCATCACAACATGAGGAACTACATTAAAGGATCACAGCATTAGGAGAGTTAAGAACTACTGTACTAGAAGCTTTGTCTCCTAGGAGGGAGTGTCTTCATCACTGTCCTCAGGTTTACCCCTCAATGGGACTTTTATCTTTTTCTTCCCCATCTAAATTGGTATTAGCTTATTATGAAGAATAGCAATCATGCCAATATTCAGGGAATAAAGGGACAGGATGGAGCCAATACCTTCATTATGGTACCACTACTCAAAATTTTGTTAATATAAAGGCTTTAGTATCAAATAAGAATTTCTCCATTTAAAAATCCTACAATAGTTCCTTTTAACGGGGAACAGAGATTTCAGGAGCCTAATGGAGCAGATAGCAGATACTGAGTGATGCCCATACTTGACAGGCCTCACAGAGGCTTTCCACCTTTTCAGTTAGCAACTCTAGTCCTAAGTATCCAAGGCATAGCACACTTTATTTTAAATTAAGGCGGGACTGAGTATCATAAGAAAGATGGTATGGCTGTTGGACAGTGAAAGGGGTGAATTATAGTAGAGTTACCCATTTTCTCCTATTGTCCTCCCCTTTTCTCTCCTCTTCATATTTGATGACAAGGATCAATATGGTTCTGCCTGCCTTGTGAAACTTCATGATACCTGATGACTTGAGTCAAGCATGGGGTATAAAGAAATAGAACAGTGGGGCCATTTTTAATGACAATTGTAGGGAAGTTCTCACAAAAAAAAAAAGCATAATGCTGATAGCAGGGACATCTGTGTCCATAGCTGTGGGACTGTATAAGGGTATCCTGGGTCATGGTTGAGCAGGTACTTAGAACCCCGAGATTCTCCGTGGAATTCTGCGTGAGAACCGGCAGGAGTTCGGTCCTTCCCATCATCTAGGATCCTGAAAACAGTCACATTTCCATTGAGTCACATATAGGCCTCAGGCCCTAGAGATTTACATACTAATGAAGGCCAGAGGGCAGAGCAAATTAAACATTCCTCCCCCAGATCCTCCCCTAATCCTCCCCCTTCTCCCTCCCTATATAACTCGGGACTGCCCTGAGTTTGGGGGGGGGTACGCCTAGATCCATCTATTATCCGTTATGACAATAAATCTTTTTAGAACCAAGGACTTCTTCGTGTTACTGGGGCCTGCCGCCGCCAAGGCCATCAGGCCGCTGGAACCGTAGGATCTTCTTCCCTGATGTGGGACCTTCTTCCCTGATGTGGGATCCGCCACGGTGGTGCAAGCTTGCGCCGCTGTGGCGGCCTTTTTTAAATTTTCCCCACACATAGCCACATTGGAAGGTGCTTTGGCTGCCTCAAAATCAGGCAACACTCCCCAAAGTATTTACACTAACACACGGGCATGTTTTAGGCTGTGATTTGAGCTGTGTATCTGCCATTTGTTCTATTGATCTTTAAGAGGTTGTTTTTTTTGTTTTTTTGTTTTTTTTAGTCTTGTCTGGGTAATTCTGTGAGTCACAGTATCATTATGAGTTTCCTGGTTCAAAGTCTGCCATTTGTTCAGATTTCTCTCCATAGTTACAGTGAGATTAGAAAGGTAAACACAAATTGTTTTAATAACTTGCATCCTTTGAAGAGCTCAGCAAAGAGTCATTTTGAATGAGTATGTCTGGTAATGTACTTTACTAATATATTTCATGGTTCTTAACCTAGAAACCATTACAGTTTCTTTACTAAGGAATTTAAGACACACAATCTGTACGATAAAACCAAAGGAGAAACTGGGACCAGACTCATTTCAGAAGTCTCACTAAGATTGATGGAACTATAGACAATTCCTGGAAGACTAGCAGAAGACAGTATTTTGGGGACAGAAACCATAAGGTAAAGAAACAAGATGAAACAATTTAAGTGGCCAGTGACCAGGCTGGATGCTATGTGGGTCATATCCTGAAACACATTGGAGGTCCTTAAATAGTTAAAAGGGAATATATTGAGGAACTGTCTCAGCCAGAAATAAAAGTATTTAAATCGGGAAGCCTTTTATCTCTTTCCCCTCCCCATTTTCTTTTTTCAACCTGTGTTAAAATCAGCCGGCCTCAAAGTGGAAATTCTCTCTCCTCGACCTACCCTGTGCTGAAACTACAGGCACACCCTCCCATACTTGGCTCTTACATGAATCTTCATTTAGAAATTTTAAAGAGAGAAGAAAAAAAAAGACCAAAAGTAATAATGAAAATGGAATCAAGTTCTAACATGTATCAATTTGTACTCAATTTGTCATTAATTTTGAACCTATAAAAAACAAGCAATGAAGAACTAAATAGTTTTAGCTTTGTACTGGCTGTAGAATAAAGCATGCAAGATTGTTTCTTTCTCCTTGCAATACCCAAGGCTGCTGGCAGTCCTTGGAGCTTGGAAACATTCTTGCACATTAACTTCAGGAAGAGTTCCAGGAGAAAGCTATATTAGAAAGTAGCTGAAAATAATTGTTCAGCCTCAGCTTCCTTAACTCGACAGTAAAAGGACCACAAAGTCCAATCACTGGGTCAAAAAAAAAAAAAATCGATCGAAAACCAGGAGGTTCTGATGGCTTTAATTTCTGCATTAGTCTCTGTAAAGACAGACTTGGGAAGGAAAAAAAAAGTCACAACCCAGGAAAAGGGCACTTTTCAGTACAGAAAATATTGCTGGGTCAGCAGCTTGTGTATATAGATCCTGCCACCTCACACACAAACCTGGTAGCCCTTAGTTGTGTCAGTGTGAGAACGCCACCTCCTGTGCTCAGGGCCTCCATCGTCCACCCTGGCAGGGTTCCTAAAGTCAGAATTTGAAGCCTGGCTGCTGACCAGAGCCAGGATGGGGACAGGCAGGCCCCTCGGCTCTCCCGCCCCGGCCCGGCGCCGCGGGCTCCTGCAGTTCCGCGTCTGCGCACGGCCGAGGGGCAGGAGCTGGGCTGGCCAGGGAGGCGCAGGGCGCCTAGGGAGCCAATGGGCGCGCGCGGGGGAGCCGGGCTGGCGGCGGCGGCCGGCTGGGCGCGCACTGCCGGGATGGACGGCGAGCGCCTGGCATCGGGCTCCTCGGAGCTGGCGGTCGGGGAGAGCCCGCGGGGCGGCGCCCCGATTCCGAGTGGCAGCGGTTCCTGCAGCCTGCTGCAGGCCGATGTGCTGGATCTGGACGAGGACGAGGACGACCTGGAGGTGTTCAGTAAGGTGAGGGCAGGGGATGTGGCCATTGCCGTAGCAGGGACTGCCGGTCCAGGGAAAGTTCCAGGGTGACTCAACTCTCCGATGGATCCGGAGCTGGAGACAGTACATTCAAACCTAAACCAGTGCTTCCCTTCTCCTGACTTTTATCTTATCAGTGGCAGGGCCAAAGGCTCATGGACTGAAAAGTTCTGATTTTTTTTTCCCGTTTCGTCTTTCCATTTTTCAGTGCTTGACAGGGACATTCCTTACCGTGGGCGGGTGGCCTGAAACTGCTCCTTCCCCCATTGCCTTAGTGCAGGGAGGTGTTTTTTGATTTACTGTTGTTATGTGTAAATGGGAGAGTTGAGTCACATTCTAAGAGAGTCTGGAAACCTGTGACCATTGGGTGTAGAAATCCTTTCAGGATTGAGAAAGCCTGGCCTCCACCACAGGCAGAGCTGAAGACTTCGGGCAGTTATTCTGGTCCAACCCTCAGCGCCAGTCTGTATATTTCCTTCCCATTTGCCTTGGGAATCTATACTCAAAGGCACTCCCTGGCTAGTGTTATAGTTAGACAGAAATGGACATATGGGCACATAGTGATAGACTTGGTGCAAACTTGCCCTTCTGAAAGTTGGAAACAAACAAAAGTATGTTTCTTGTGGCACAATTCAGTGTCACAGCAGTTTTTTCAAAGGGGCTCCGTGGGAACATTGTATCAATGACTGAGGCGCCTGTACAGTAGTGACATGTTTCCTGGAGATGTTAAATCAGCCCACCAACTTAAAACTGTTAAACAGAAGTTAGCAAGTAACCACCACACTTGGACTCCAAGCGCCGAGCTCACAAACATCATTTTTCACCCCTAGAGCATGTGAGGTGGTGGTACACCTGGTTGCGTTCTAAGTAGATGCTGTATGAGTTATGTGTGGTTAGCCTTTCTTTTTATATAAATTATAAAACTGGAATAATTTTATGTTTAGTTTCAATACTATAACATTTTAATATCTATTTATTTGTGTTTGTCTACACGCGTGAGTGCGTGCATGTGCATAACTTTGTGCATAACTGGAGATCAGAGCTCAGCCTGCATTTCACCCTTTCCTTCCACCATCTGGGCTCTAGGGGATTGAACCCCCGTCAATGGGCCCCATAGCAAGCACCTCTCCTTACTGAGCCATCCAGTGTCCCAAATCTGCTTTTTATTTTTTTTCTTCATTATACATACACAACTTTACGTTCAGATCAGTGTGAAACGTACGAAGTTGAGAATGGAGGGTTGAGCTTGAAAGTTCTCTATCAAAATCGTCGGGAATTGCTATAAATTCTCCAGACAGCCCATTTTCCTTGGTTCTGTATGCTAGCCCACCCCTCAAGAATCCCCATCTTAGTGAAGCCCTGTGCTCAGAGATGGTTCTGAGATGGTAGAGCTATTAATTTGCTTGAGTCTATGAGAATGCTGAGGATTGCTGGAATTACAGATGTTCTCAGTGAGAAGGAAATGACAGATTGAAGCCATAAGCCCTTTGAATGCACATTCTTCCTACATTGCCTAAAGCAGTATCAGACTAGGGAAAATCTCCTCAGGAATCCAGCCGTTTGCTGAGCTTTCTTTTTAAAGGTTATTATTGGAAGTCATACACACTCCTCAGATGGCTGTACTGGTGGTTTTGTATTCTTCTAAAAAAAAATGGGTTTCCAGACTTCGCATGTTTCAGACATGTACAAATGCTTATACCCTACTTGCTGCTGCTTCTTGTAATTGCTGCCTAGAGAAAGTTAAGAACTATGCCCTTACAAGGTGGAAAGTGTGGGTGTAATGCTGGTTAAAGTCTAAAGAGAACACCATGCTGGAAAACTATTCAGTTACTCCCAGGCTTATTCCAAGTTGTTAAAGCTTTCAACCATTAACCACAATTAGACAAGCAAAGTTATGAAGGACTCCATTGGGCCAGTTCTTTCCATGTTCCTCTTCTCCTCCACTCTGGAGCTCTACTACCATCCAGCTTTCTCCAGGATGGCGTTTGCCTAGGAGTAAGAAAGCCAACTCTCTCTGCCCAGATAGGTTATATTTACATTTATAGTCACGTTTTCTCTGTAGACTATTTGTAAATCCATACCCTTGTCTCTTTCAGATCACCTTAAAGAATAAACAGTTTGATGAAAACATTTTTCTCCCACAGTATATTCTACACACATGGCAAATACATATTTTTCTGTAAGAAAATCTAAGTATTCTGGGGAAAAATGTGTAGTATATGTTTCTTCCTCTCATAGTCTTGAAGCCTAGATGGCAAGATAGACAGGCACTAAGAGGCAAAATGCACCAAGAGGAATGGAAGGAAGAGCAAAGCAGGTTGACTTTTCAAAAGTCCACTGGCAAGTAATTGATCTCACGCCCCCCCCCAAAAAAAGTGCAGAAAGTTTTGATTTAAAAGAATAACTAAAGGACACCAGTGAACATAATTAACGGCATAAGGCAATAAAGGAAAAAGAAAATTATATGCAAATAACAGCAATCATGTAAAATTTGTCTTTGAACTTGGCCACAATGAGATGAAAGAAAAATTAACTGAAAGAAAAGAGGCCAGTTCTGTACTTTTTGGGGGGGCAGTTACAGGCATGTGTTACACAGGTGTCAGGTTTGTATACATGTTTACATGAGCATGTGCACTTGGAACCTGAGGTTGACTTCCAGTGTCTTCCTAGTTCACTCTCCACCCTGTATTTTAAAACAAGGTCACTCAGTGAGCCCAGAGCTGGCATTTTTTTGCTAGTCTGGACAGGCAACTTGCTTCAGGGGAGTCCCTTTATCTGTCTCCCATGTTGGAAATAAGAGGCTACTTCCTGTTAACTAATTGGCAGGCTACTTCCAGCCCTGCCCAGCCTTTTACTTTGGTTCTGGGGATCAGAACTCTAATAATCGTGTTGTACAGCTAGGATATTACCTGCTGAGCCACCATGCAAGTTCAAAGTCTCTTCTTTTAGGGACATATTGAACATTATTTGAAAATTATATACACATATAAAGCTGTCCTTATTTTTATTACACATCATCACATCTACTTACTTTTGAGATGTAGGATTTGTACCTCCAAATACAATAGGTAAATATGCTTCTAAAACGTAACAGACCAGGGCTGGAGGGATGCTTCAGTGGTTAATAGTGTGTGGTGCTCTTGCAGAGGAGCCCAGCTCAGTTCCTAGCACCCATGTGGCACAGTGTATAACCACCTCTAACTCCAGGACATCCTGGCCTCGATGGACACCTCCACATCCACACACACCCACATTTAGTCATCTGAACTAAAAATCTAGTAAGTTCTTAAAAATAGACCAGAAAGAAGTTTTGAAATATGTTCTAGTTTCAATCTCTCTCAAGGCCACAGAATGGGTTACTTTGTGTTTTGTTTATAAACTTTGGAAAGAAAGAGCTGATCCATAGAAGCCAATATATCTTCTATGAATATAGAAAATTTTAGGTTTTATAGTTAAAAAGAAGTTTAGTAACAGACATATTTATTTTGAAGGGGGTTGAAGGAATACCACATTCTTGTATAAAAGGTTATTTTTCAAAGATAATACATTATAATTATTGGAACAGTCAATCTTTGTATTACTATTATGAAATACCTAAGGCTAAATCACTTTATGAATAAAAGAAGTTTACTTATTACAGGGTGCTAGAGGCTCAGGGATGTGAGTATCAGCTCAGCTGTGGGGAAGACATCCTGTAAATGGCATCATATGGATAGTGTACATGGAAGAAGGAACTATCACATTTCTAAACAGGAAGCCAGAGGGACCAGGAGATCCTCCAGTATTGTTTTATATTAAAGACCCTCCTGAATGAACCAAGTCTGTATCCCATGAATACTCCTTTAAGTCTAAGCATCTCCCAGTAGATCTAACCATCTTTGGGTTCCACTACCCACAGTAACCTCATACTAATAAAAAGCTCCTAAGACCATATGAAAACCACAGCAATGACAGGGGGACATACTACACTAGCCAATTAGTCTATCAGGTATATATCTATCTATATAATTATATAATATTTATAGCTATAGCTATAATATAATTTATTATGTATATATCATATACCATATATATTATATATGTATCATGTATCATATATTTATTATATATTAATTATATGTTATATTTTGTATCATATACCATATAGTATCTATTCTATTTATTATTTATTTATAATTATACAAACAAATATATATATATATATATATATATATATATATATAATGTTTGGAAATCTATATACTTCCCAATCTCTGTTTTGTGTTAGATGCTGATAAAAGTCAGAATTTTCTTTAATTCTTTAAATGATATATTGATATGATATATTCATACAGGGATTACTTATAGGGTTTATGTTCTGCGTTAAGGCACAACAAGGTCAAACAAGGTCCAGTGAAGCACTTAAAATCTGATAGTAACAAAAGTCCACTTGCATTGCTCTACTCTAAAGAGGTGAGGTATGGAAACTGGTGCAGGCTGGAGTTGTGGAGAAAGGGGCCAACTGTACTTACAGAGCAACACAGACTGCCAGCAGGGTTGCAGTGAGGTAGAGAAACAACATGGAGGGAGTTTTCTGAGTTCTCCTTTACCCTCATTGGATGACATGCTCATGTTTCTTCCCAGGGAAGCTGCCAGAGTGAGATCATTCTAGGTACAAGCCTTCTAGAATACAGCACTTAGAGGCAGTCTGAGGTTGAAAAGGAAGGATAACTTGGTTAGACCATCCATAGTACCAAAAGGCAGAGAGTAGCTTCAGATGAAGATGACGACTTTGTATCTCTCAGTTCATCTGTTCATCTATAATGCAAACTACCATGCTTCTATCAAGCAATGGGATCTGTGTCTCTTTTCTGAACATATGTATACTTATATATATGTTTCAGACTACTACATTATAGATATTAGTTACTTATTTTGAGGAACTGGATATTAAATACAGCAAGGCAAGCATTCTACCACTAAGTGCCATTCATAGCCCCTAACCA